CTAAAGCTGAGTAAGAACAGACATAAACTCTGAGTACAACGTTGAGATGTTCTACAATTCAAATCCTTCTTTCTGCCAGGCACTGAGTGAGGTTTGCCAGTCAAAACATATGTTTAAATATGCATTAACTTAAATAACCTTGGTCAACTCATCCTACCAGAGATGATCTGAAAAAAAGGAAAACTTGGCAAAGTACTGGCACTATAATTAAGTTGCATTTTTTCCTTATTAGAGTTGATTATTTTCCCAAAGGATTAATCGACAAGATCATTTTAACGAGTCACTGTCATGATCGCTGCCCAATCTGTGTTATATGCAAAAATTACAAACTCCTCTATTACAACATGCAAACTGGAGTAGCACGGAGAGAACTTGCTAGCAAGATAGAGGATTAACCCCTCTTTCAGTGAACTTCAGGAGGACCTGGGGAAACAAGTTAATTTCTATTTCTGTATGCCTTCTTTTTGTCTAAGAGCCTCACTTCAGGGATTCACTGAATAACGGCTCTTTAAGAAACAAAGGTTAATCAAACTCACCTGCACAGTAATTTTATATTTAAGATTTTATCTTCAGTCAAGTTTTTAAGCAAAAATTACAATTAATCTAATTGAAAACCAGCATGTGATACACAGCTTTGCATTGCTGATGAGACACACTGAAGCCAGATCTTGGCTTCAGTTAAGACAACTGATGTTATCATACAAAACAGTGAATGTAGCAGCCTGCACCTACAGCATGTGTTAAAGAGATATTTCAAGTCACAGTTTTAGATTTTTTAAACGCAGTCCTTCAAAGAAACTAATAAATGCAGATCCTCCAAAACTGTGGATCTAATAAATCTAAGAAAATATGAAGTTTGTCAGACTCTTTAGAGATGATAGAATAGGGTTACTACAGCCCTGTCTTTCATTTAGCTTCATTAATGTGCTAGGGATGGTTAAAAAACAAACAAACCCAAAACCAAGAAAAAAAGTAAAAAGAAACTACACCATCAAAAACACCAAGAGGGATTGCCAATGTAATTATCCCATTTGCATTAATTCCAGTTTCATTTTGTTAGGTATCAATGTTAATTGCCTTTAAAAAATAGTTATACTGAAATTGAACTAGGAGAACAAAGAAGAAGAAAACTCAACTAATGAGTTAGCATGAAAAATATTCCTCTATCTTAAATGGCTTTAGCATGCTCAGCTCCTTGAAAATAGGATTATTTATCCTTCAGTCTAAAAACTGCTGCACTCAGTATACCGACCTGGATGATCCGACTCACTAACACAATTTGATTCTTAACAGTATTCACTGGAAGGAATCTCATTAAAAACCCCAGCATTGCCATCTACCCCTCACTTCCAAGACACAGCTTACCTTTTCTGCCTTAAATATTTTCATGTAAACCTATTTTTAAATTTTTGTATGTAATGCAGGTTATATCTATTTATATTTCTATCTTGCAAAGAGGCATTAAAGAGTTGAGTTCGGAAACTTTTGAATTAAAAGGGAAAAAACCCACCCAATCTCTTTCTTTGAGTGTTAAAGAAAATCTCCCTTTGAGTTACCCCAGAACTTGTGAAGGAGAAATGAGGTTTTACAAGCAGTATCATTTCAGGGTGCAGAATGAGACTCACAGATTATTTACTGCAGTGAAGGTGCATGTGTTGAATGGTGTCGTCAGAGCATGGTACACTAGAAAAAAGGCTGCAGCTATAAAAGTTTATGTTCAGCTCCCCAATGGAACATTCCACCTATAAGACCATGGGAAGAAAGATATTAACAGTGAAAAATTTCATACTGAATCAAGGGTCAGATAGTGGGAGGTATTCATTCCACCCAAGTTTGACCAGACCACAGTGTTTTGACTCACACTGGCAATTACATCTTGCTTGTTCTCTAATTATGGCCTTATAACTCAAAGGTTTTCAGGATCCAATGTAGTCTCCATCATGGCCTTCATGGGAAAATGGAGGATAAGAAAAGCTAAGTAAACCTGGCCAAGCAGATTGGTTTTCAAGAATGATACGCTGTGTGCTTTGTGTGTGATTTCAGTGGCCATTAGCAAAATCAGGCTTGAGGTAAAAAGAACCATCTTGAACTGCAAAAGAATCTGAAGGAGCAAGGGAAAGCCTCAAGTCCTTTACCCAGACACATACACCCCATCTATTTGTCAGGGAATGCGGCTCACAGTCAAACCCAGCATTTCCAAGTCAAACATTGTGGTTTTTTTATAAACCAGTAGAAAAGAAGGACGTGAATAACCTTGGGTTTTATAAGTTCACAGAAAGTTCTTCTCAAGTCTGGAATCAGCAAGTAACAAAAGCAGAGGTAGGTCTATCCAAAATTCTGTGAGTAAGCTGTAGAAGCTGCCATCATTGTACAACTAGAAAAAGAAAGGTGAACACATGACACTTGGTTTTCTAGTTGCTTCCAATTTTTGCATGTTTACTACTGCATCAGCTATAGACTACTTTTCTACATGTCCAAGACTGTTGTCTTACACAAGACCTCCTATGCCTTGCAGCAAAGCTAAAGAATAATGCACTAGAAAGAGGTGTGAAATAAGAAAAAGATGTTTTAGCTCCATTTTAGAAATTATATGCAGTAAAAAAGATGAAAGAAACATAGACTGGAACCACAATTTTAACCTGATATTGTTCTTAAATTTATAAAATATGTCCGCTAAGAAAACTACAGAGGGGAAAGGGACAGATTAAGAAGCTGAAGAAACCCTTAGGGCTGAGGGAAATCCTGAAGATGCCAGAGCAAAAAAATCCAGGAAGGTAGTTCACTTTCACACTCTGGATAACAGAAGACAGCTGAGAGCATGGGAAAGGTATAGATAGGGTACCAATACTTCACAGTTAGTCATTGTACTCGTGGTTTTATGGGCATATACAGACCAGAAGTGGTAAGAGCATTGTAACGTATCTCCTCTTACTCAGCATGAGAAATTAGTTTAGATAAGAAAAGTCAGTCAGTCACTGACGTGGCAAAAAGCAGGAGAGGGAGTAAAACATGCTCCTGCTTACTGCAGGGAGAGAAAAGAGAGAAACTGGATGCAGGGAGGAAGAAGAGGCAAAAGAAGAGTGTGACATGAAATCTGCAAGTACGAAGTAAGTGAAGAGACCAGCTGGAAAGGAAAAGGTGATATGGGCAATTCACTCAGGTCCCCTTCCTTAACAGGCCTACTTGTCTTGACATGAACAGTCATGCTCTGTTAAAAACTCTTGGCTACCTTATTTGCTGCCTTTGCAGTCTGACATCCCATACATGATAAGCTACCTGCAGGTCACTGTATTACTATCATGCAAGCTTAAAACTAAAAAATAAGCATGAGATAAGCAGACAGTGTCTTACTCAGTATTAAATCTGAAATTCCCAGCGATCATTATCTAAAATCACAGAATAGCCTCGGTTGGAAGTGACTTTAAAGATCATTTAGTTCCAACCTCCCTGCCATGGGCAGGGACACCTTCCAAATGACAAGCAGAAAGGGACCCATAATGTCTCTGGTGCCGTGCCCCTGTCCCAGTGCCCCACTAGCCTCTGAGTAAACAACTCCTTCCCAATATCTCTGCATCTTTGAACTCTTCCAGTTCAAAGCTGTCCCCCCTCATCCTGTCACTCCATGCTGTTGTCAAAAGCCCCTCTCTCTTCCCAGCTTTCTTGTTTGGCCCGGTCTAGTACTGAAAGGTGGCTAAAAGATCTCCACAGAATACACTGATAGTTTGATTTGTGGAGATCTCTTAAATAGCACGAAGCCATACAACAGCATGTGTAATTTGTAAGTTACACCAAAAGATTAACATTTCCATATTGGCTATTAACTCTCAGAATATCCATTCCCTTCCCCTTTTTGCCCAGCACACTTCTAAAAACCCTTACAAACCTACACAGCTATGTACCGATATGTAGCACTGTAGAGGGACTTGCGGCATGGCATTGAACTTGTTCACACAGAATGATATTGATTTATTGGCTGTAAATGGCTGAGTTCCAAGACTGTTGCATAAAGTTATCTCAACATGTTGCCAGAAAAATCCCCATCCCAACCTGACCAAAATTCATCCCATTTTCAAATAAGCTTAATGACAGGAGCTACAGAAAGAACTGCTACTAAAAAGTGTCTTTTGACACTTTACCTAGCACTCACTAATAAAAATGGAAGCTATCCATGCTCACATATCTGAGGTGACCTGCATTGTCAAGATCATATCTGCTGGGTGTTCACTAATCACTTCGTCACTTGCTTGCAAAGAGTTTCCTTTTGGTTTGTCTTTGAAAAAATAAACCAGTTTAATGGCAACATTTTATGGCAAAATAAATACATTGAGATGGGAACATAAAGTAGGACAAGCAACTACACTAAGTAAACAAGTTAGAGGATCTGAACTACATACAGGAGAGTCCTATCGCAGGTCACTGGCAGAAGAAAATATACCATTCAACCAAAGTAGAAATAGTTGTTTTTTCAAGAATTACTCTTCATCAGCCTGTTTGGAACTAATTAAGTCTCTGAAGTCCAGCAATCAAGTCCCGGAATTCCAGGCCAAATTTCCAGCCTGAAAATATCCTGTGTGTCTTTAGGCGCTGGTCATGAGAAGGAAACAGGTGCAATGCAGAAAATGCAGTTACGACAAAGGGATAGTGCATCATTTCATTTATTGGTACTCCAGCTTTCAGTACTTCTAACAAGCTGACTGGAACAGAAGCCAACTACGAGCCCCTGACGAACTGCCCCGCTGCGAGGGAAAGAGCCGACAAGTGCCTCGCTCTACGCCGCACCGACGAGCGGCCTCTTGCTCTCCCAGCCGGCAGCAGAGCCCTCGCTGCCGCCCGGCCCCACGGCAGGTGGATGCGCGGCGGCTGCTGCTGCGGGGGCAGGCAGCACCTCCTTCCCGCGGGGGCCCGGCCGGCAGGGCGCAGGCAGCGCGGTCCCCGTCCCGGGCCGCCGCCGGTGCTGCCGAGCGGTGCGGAAGGGCTGCGGCCGGCGCCCGGCTACTCACCATCTCCTGCCTCAGGAGCTGAAGTTTCGTCTCCAGACGGGCCAGCGCAGCAGGGCGGCGGCGGCGGGGCCCGGGGGCCGCGGCGGCGGGGCGGACCGGGAGCTCCTCCCCGCGCAGGGGCCGCGCCAGGCTCTCGGGCACTTTGCGCCCCAGCTTCTGCTCGACGTCGCGGAGGTCAGGCGAGGCGCCGGGCTCCATGGCTCGCCCTGCAGGGACCCGAGGCGGTAGCGGCGGCACTACCCGCGCCCGCCCCGCAGCTGCCGGGACGCAGAGGCGCGGAGAACCGCGGCAGCGCCGGGGACGGCGGAGGCGCCGAGCGGGGGACCCGAGGCGGGCATGGGCATCTCCCGGGCGCACCGGCCCTTCCCGCCCGCTCCCCGGCCGCCGGGGAAAGGCAACAGCGGCCGGGCGGGGGCGATGAAGAAAAACGGCCCCGCTTCGTGTACGAGACCGCGATGCGCCCCAGTAGCTGCGGCCGGCACAGCGCGACCCGAGTCATCCCGCGTCCCGCCCGGCTGCAACTTTAAAGCCGCGGGCAGGTGGAAGAGGCGCGGCGCGGCCCTCCCACCGCGGTGCCCGTGCGCTGAGGCCCGGCACGCCCGCCCGCGGCCCCGGGGCGCCCCCGCACGGCGGGGACCGCCCGGCCCGGCCGCCAGGGCCGCGGAACACCGCGTCCCTCAGGGACAGCCTGGGGGACGGAGAGGGGGACGGAGAGGAGAGGCAGAAGGAAAGGGAACAAGGGAAAAAATTAAAAAAGAGAAGAAAACTGAAAAAAAAAGTGAGAAAAATAGAAGGAAAGGGAGGAAGGGAGTTTGGAAGGGAGGTTGGAAGGAAGGAAGGAAGGAAGGAAGGAAGGAAGGAAGGAAGGAAGGAAGGAAGGAAGGAAGGAAGGAAGGAAGGAAGGAATAGGAAAATGAATAGGAAAATGAGAAAGAAAGTGAAAAAAAAAAGGAAAGTGAGAAAGAGTCACCCCTTCTCACAAGGGACAGGAGCATAAGTACAGTGTGAATGGTATTCCCACTTATCAAACAGATTTTATTGCAGGCAAGTGCATTTTTCTTAATATTTCTATTATTTTTTTGTCCCCCTCCTCTTTAAGAAGCAAAGCAAAGCTGAATCAGTTGCTCTAACTGATAGCGAGGCACATGTTGGCTGTGCAGATAGCAGTGCTGGATGTGTCCTGTTGCTCCTTGTCCCATGATGCTCCTTGTCCCATGGCACTGAAAAACATTTTAGGCTCTAAAGTATGAATAGCCACATCTGTGGAGCTGCCGCTGACACATGTCAAGGGGGTTGAGAAAGCGAGGCCAGCCACTCTAGTGTCAGGTCCTCTATAGCAACTAGAATCACAAAGTGTGCTGTAGTGAACTTGAGGAAAAAAAATGTTTTTACAGCAAACTGGATGCTTTTGGTGAAATAATTTCATCTATACTTTAAAATCTAAGATTTATTATCAGGGACCTTTGCAAGGGCTTAGTTCAGTCAAGTAAAAAATCTACAGATGTATCTGATATCTTAAAAGTACATTGATTTTAGACCAGGACCCTTATTTTATCACTATAACCATCTGGAAATACTGTGTGAGACACATATGAAAAAACATTTATTGCTCTCATGTTTGTCATATATGTTTAATTCATACGACAAAACACCATTAATACTCTTCTCAGAAAAGAAAGCCAAAACCAGCTGCTTACAAATAAGAATTCTCCTTCTTACTGCCTCCCCCCCAAGTATTTCCTGAATTTCTATTTTCATATATTGATATTTACAGACTTGCTCCTATATAGTCTCATGTTAATATTGATTTATGCCATTATGTAAGTTAGTAGGGATCACATTGAAATTCTTTCTCTCTGAGCTATGAACACCTTGTTAAGTAAAATTTTAAGTTTTCATGACTGTTGTTACAACATTGAGCTGTAGAAGTCCTTTGTTCTACAAGCAGTATCTTGTAAAAACGGTCATGATTCAACTGTATTCAGACTTTCTGTTTGAAGAAACCTAAAAAAAATTCTGAAATATTAATTTTTCTTTAAATATTTCAGATAACCTGAATTATCAAGGTTTTAAAAATAAAAATGGAAGAGAAATAATACAAAGAATTTATGCTAGTTTGATAAAAGATTTTTCAGTGATAAAAAATTTCCCCGAATCCTACTCTAAATAATCTAAAAGTAATGAAAATAAGTCCTTTCTAATAAGGACTTACAAACAACATTCAGCATAATGCACTCTATGCATTCATTAATTTATGCTTTACTATCTGATGGCCTGATTCTTACCTCCCACTGGCCTTGCATTAGTATAGCAGTTAGCAAGTCACTGGGTATACTTTTGGATTACAGAGATTAAAAGATACGCCTATGTTGCAGTCACCTTGTTAAATCTTCAAGGTTACCAGTTTTGCTAAACTAATAAGTGTTCTTTAAAACAGAAGTAAACAAAACCAGTAAACATTATGTAAATTCCATTTTCGTCTCGTGGGACAGATCCCGTCTTCATTTTAGAATAAAGTGTCCTAATTTATAAAGATTATTGAATCCAATGCTCTGCTCCTTGCAGAACTACCTAAACCTTAACCATATGATTAAGAGCATCATCCAAACACTCCTTGGACTCCGACAGACTTGGTGCTGTGACTCGTTCCCTGGGAAACCTTTTCCAGTGACCATCCACTCTCTTGATAAAGAACACTTTCCTAATGTCCAGTATGAATTTCCCGTGATGAATCTTCATTCCATTTCCTGTTGCTGGTCACCAAAGTAACAGAGTAACCTCTTCCATTGCCCACTGTGAGGAAGCCGTAGTCCCTGACAAGGACAACCCTTAACCTTCCCCTTTCCAAGGTGAACAAAGTGATCTCAGCTGCTCTTAAATGCCTTACCCTCGAGGTCTTTCAGCACCTTGGTCACCCTCCTCTGGACACACTCTAATAGTTGGATAGCCTTGTACCCAGGCACGCCCGCACAGCTGCACACAGGTCTTGAGATGGGCTGCACCAGTGCCCTGTACAGCAGAACAATCGCCTTCCTTGACCAGCTGATGGTGCTGCGCTCGATGCACCACAGGACACATCTGTCTCTTTTGACTGCCAGGGCACGTTGTTGACTCGTATCCAACTTGCCATCTGCCTAAACTGTCAGATAGATGTCTTTCTTTGGTGTTTCTCTTCAGTCTCTCATCCACCAATTATATATAAACCAGGATTACTTTGCCCCAGGTTGAGAATCTGACACTTGTTAAATTTCATGCAATTGGTGATTGCCTTCTCTCTAATTTATCCACATCTTTCTGTAAATTCTCTCTACCCTTGAGGGAGCTAACAGTTCCCCCTATTTTAGTATAACTGGCAAACTTCTGCAATATACACTTAATTCCCACATCCAGGTAATTTATAAAAACACCAACAAGCACTGGCCTAAAATGGGGCCCTGGGGAACGCCAATGGTGATTGGCTGCCAGCCTGATATGACCCCATTTACTGTAATTCTTTGAGTCAGCCAATTGCTTACCCAGTGTATAATGAACTTGAGTAGCTGTGTGATGGACATTTCATCCAGAAGGATGCCGTGAGAGACAGTATCAAAAGCTTTGTTAAAATCTAAGAACCCACATTACTGCCTTTCCTTGGACAACTAGATGGGTGACTTTGTCATAAAAGGAAATTAATTTAGTGAAGCAGGACTTTCCCCTCATGAACCAGTGCTGTTTATGACTAATGACTGTATTGTGTCTCAGCTATTTTTCACTAACTCTCAGAATATATTTATTCATAATTTTTCCAGTCACTGAAGTGAGACTTAGAAGCCTGTAATTACCAGAATCTTCCTTCCTACACTTCTTGAAAATAGGAAGAATATCTGCTATGATTCCAGTTCACTGGGATCTCTCCATACTCCAAACACTGTTAAAAAAATACTGGGGAGCATTTCTGCAATGACATTAGCCAGGTTTTTCGATACACTGGGATAGGTCCCATTGGACCACATAAATTTATATGCATCCATTTGGAGCATCAAGTCTCAAGCTCAGAGTTAGCTGGAAGTTTATAATTTCCCTAATCACAGCCTTTCAAAAGAGAGTTTAGGACTCACTGATGTTAAAGACACAGGCAAAAAGGCAATAGACACCTCTGCTTTGTCTGCAGCCTGGTTTTGAGGTGACTGACCTAACCAAGTAATGGACCAATATTATCTCTGGTTCTTCTTTTCAAGTTAACATATTTTAAAAAGAGGGCCTTTTGTTGTCCTTCAAAGTGCTGCTCAGTTTAGACTTTAGCTGAGCTTTGGTCACACGAATTTACTCCCTATAGTGTTGAATAGTATGTCTGTAGTCCTCCTCCATTTCTCTGTATTCTTCAGCCCTGTGCTGTCCACTCTTTGGGTGAGATTTAGAGCTTTTTGAATACCTCACTTTGAATCTCTCAGTAAGATCATTTATATCAGTGTTTGCTAGCTTGTTTTTTTCTTTCTTTATTTCTTTTTGTTTTAAGTTCAGATGGAGATAGTCACTAATTTCAATGCCTTGTTAGTACTCTTATCAATCATTCAATTCCTTCTGTAGCCAAAAGTCTTGGTATTTCAGTCCAACAAAATGTGAATGCTTGTATGCCTAAGAGGCCATACTGTTCAGTCTCTTGTTAGATAGGCTTTCTATTGTCACATGATATCATCTGCATCTCCCACAGGTTTTAAGACCAAAGGAATAAAAACTTCCTCATGTTACTCTACAGAGCACAGCCTTAGACTTGCCTTAGGTCAAACCATGATTTTACATATGAAATTGGAGAGTGGATGTTAGGTTAAAAATTTTGAAAGTAAACTGTTTTTTTTTTGGGGGGGAGGGCGGGGTGTTGATGCCTCAACATATGAGGTCTGGAACACAGTATTGTCTTTGCCCAGGAAAGTGAAAATACTGTTATAAAACCCTATAGTGCTGTCATGCAACACACCTGTGTTTCCAAAGAGCACGTTGTCAACTTGATTTTATGAGCTTCAGACATGTAGTCTAATCAGGCAACTATTTTCAAGCCTGTAAGGTGAGTGCTTTATTTTAATGGTAGATCTTCATAAGATTTATTTCTTTTAAGATTGCTTAAGCTAATCACATGGGAAATCAGAGGACAAAAGTCATGAAGTAGGACAACATTGGGCAGCTTGAGAAGGAAGGCGCTTAGAGGCTTGTTTTCAGTTAAT